GAAGGAAATAGTGTGAGATGCAAACACGTACGTAGATGGAGATAAACTAATTGCAATGTCAGCCTAAAGTAAATAGTTAACGAATAAAAATTGTTTTAGAGAGAAAGAGGGGGAAAAAACAAACACATAATCAGATTCAAACCTTGAAGTTACTTCGTCTTGAAAGCTCATCAAGGCTCTAATCCCTACACAGCAATAGTGACCCGCAACAACCAGTATATTGTCAACCTGCAAAAATGCAGTTAAATACACACACATACACACCTTATTTTACTGATGCTAAGTTGGCCATCAACAAGGGAAGCCATGATGCGTGCACGAAGGAGGAGGAAACAAGGATTTAATGGGTAGAGATGAAGAAACAAAGAAAAATAAAAACATGGAAATCTTCACTATTGGCTAAAAAATCAACAATCTCAGCTTCACTTAGCTTCACTCCCACTTTCGTACATTGAAAAAGCTTCGAACAGTCACAATAGAATTATCTTGAAAAAGCTTCACTCAGCTTCACTCCCACATGGATTTCTTTGCCTGATCATCATGAAGATATTTATTGCAAAAAAAATTATTTCTTAGTTTTACTTGTATGTGAAGCTTTGCATGATGATTATTGAAATATTTGTAACTTCAAAAGAAATTAATTACCTGCAGATGGCTGGCAACATTCTCTCTAATGAGCTCTGATATTCACATTACTTCAACAGTTTTCTTAGGAAACATTAAAGCCAAGAACACGAAAATTTTGAAAGGAAGGGTAAATTATTAAACTCTCCAACGTTTTTGCACAATTTCAAAAAGAATCCAACTAAACAAATTGTAGGGCTACCTTGAAATTAAACAGAGCTTTCAGGGGGGAATTTTGTTATTAATTCTAAAATTACCATAAATAAAACGAAAAAACCAAATATTTATTCATCAAAACATTACAAACAAATAGAAAAGAAGAAAAATATTAACTCACACTCATATCAATAATTTCAATGGCTTCCAAGAATTTCTGATGCACTTTCATCGTCCAGACGACTCTCGGCTCCTCCGCTAGTGCACTCTTATTCTTTCTTCAGCCTTCGAGTTTTCTACTTCACTAACTCTTTCCTCTTTCTTTTCTGATCAAACCATTCAGCCTCACTACTTAGTGCACAAATCTTTTTTTCTCACCTGCAACATCATTACGAATCTATGACTTTCAAACATTTTCTTCTCGACCGGCCGCCAACGACACTTTTTGGAACTATTTGTCACATGTCACGTGATTATTTGTCGGATGTCCTCGTCGTGTACTGCTTCGTTTCTTTTTGGTTTGTTGGTGGCCTCACAGTTTCCACTTCTACTTGATCAGAACAAACCAATTTTATCATCTTTCTTTTTAAACTTGTATACAATCAGCTTTAATATTTTTCGTAAGAAATTCAGATTAATTTATTTAGGATATGTGATTTTCTAAAGGCGCTAAGCAAGTTTATTTTTGGTTTCTGCCTTTTCATAACCACAATCAATTAACAAATAAAAGAAACAACAAACGTTGAATTTGCTATAATTGCTAAATAATATTGTCTATGCTATTGACGTTCTACCTAGGAATTAGACTCCACACAATGTGAAAATATTTATATATCTTTACCATGGTACGATCAACAATCACCCAAACTTTAAGGAAATGCTACTGAGTATAACCCAAAATCTTTTGTCCACACAATAATCCAAAATCTATTGTCCAAATAAAGTTAGAAAACCGTTGATGCGATTTTAATAATTGGGGTCATAAATTGGTAATATTCATGAAAAACAAGCATCCCATGAAAATTCAAATGCAAAATCGAATCTAGAACAAGAATATACAAAATTAAAGAGTAAAATAAAATCACGAAAGAAATAACATGTAGGAACTGGAAAGATAAAAATTTAAGGGTGGTTAAAAAACTCAATCGCTATTCACCGCCCCCTTTTACTAGTCACCGCCCCTCCTCCATTTACTCTTTTGCCCTTAACCTTTTTTTGGATTTTATCTCTCTAAACTTTCTATCTCTCTAAATTTCCGAACTTCAACGAACGATTCGAGCATAAAAAAAAATCCAAAAAAATGTCGAAAAAATTCTACGGCCTCGGCAAAGGATTCTTCTCCAACAAGGTAATTTTTTTTTTTTTTTTTTTTTGCCGAACTATTTTTAAAAAATTTTTTGAAAACCTGTTGAACCGTCCGGCCGGCGGTTCCGGCCGGCCGCGGTCCGTCCGGCC